CTTTTTACGTCAGTTGCTGCCAAAAGCTAAGGTTCATAATTTTAAAACCTTAAAAAAAAAAAAAAAAAAAAAAGGTTTTTTTTTTTTTTTCTCCTGATAGAAGTGCCCACAATAAAAACCTTAGTTGTAACCTCAAACCTAAGAGGAGGATTAGTATCCTGCTCATAAACACTGCTTAACACCATGGGAGGCCAATATATTTAAAACTGAAATAAACATTTAGCTGAACCTTATGCTAAAACAGACCCAAATAAATTTCCAGTAATGCTAAACTTAATTTTTCTTTTTCTTTAAGTGTAGAAATATTATTTTTTTTTATTTTTTAAAAAATTCCTAACACTGGTTGTGTGTGTGTCTAAATAATGCAATACTGATTATTTGTTCTAGAAATGGTTTGGCAAGTAGAAGAGAGTACATGGAAAGTAGCTATATTTCCTGGCCTATATCAGCCAACACCACAGGTGGAAAATTTAATTAATGTTTTGGCCTGTAGCCATATACAATACTTTAAAAGAAAAAAAAAATAAACAAAGGGGATTAATCTTACCCAAACTTAAAATATCAAATTGAACAATTTAAAAGCAAAACAAAGTGTGCACAAGAAAGAGGGGTGGTGGAAGATTTATTTCCTTTAAAACTTGCTTAAAATAAACATTAATAAAAGACATTAAAAATCAATTTATTTCTCAAGTTCAAAATATAAGACACATCTCTCAGAGAAAAATGCACTTGGAAAAAATAATTCTTTTTTGTTTTATTTTTAAATTTGTTTAACTTTTTTTTTATTGTCCCTGTTTTGCCACAACAAAGATCAGTGCTGATTTTAAAGTCAATATTTTACCTATAGATACATTAATGCTAATTGACTGAAACTAACATTTAACTGAATATAAAAAGAACAGAAGATAAAAACAACATACACTATTTAAAATAGATTTTTATCAAAAGATGAATTGACTTTTCAAACAAATGAAACATTTTTTTAAAACTCCATAAAATGTTTTTCTTTTATTTTTTTTCCTTTCATTTTTTTCATTTTTGGTAATTTCAAAGTCACAGCAAATCTAAAAGGTGGAAATTTTCAAAAGCATTTTTAGAGACTGCATCTAAATTAAAACTAAAAGCCAAAATAAAATTTCAAAGAAAATTGTTTTCTACTTGCAAATTTTGTCTAAGAAAAATAAAATAAAATTAGCCTTATGAAAGGATATAGGCAAACCAAGAAAATAATTTCAAAATCTGGTTTCTGACCACTAGTGTCATTTCATTGTAAACTCTGTCTTATTGCAGCCCATCTGGACAAACTCTTGTTTTTAATAAATTTAAGCATTTGAAGATGAGTGTGATGCTGAGTAAGTTTCCTTACTATAAACTAATACAAAAGTATCATTCTTTGAAAAGAAGAAGAGCTAACTCAAAAACTGATTTTCTAATCGCAAAATAGCAGTGAAAATGCAAGAACAATGAGAACAAAGACAAGTTTCCTTTGCTATCCAATTTGTATTGTATGAAACCTTTTGTTAGGCATAAAGTCATGAAGTGCCATGAATTTATAAGGGAAAAGATATAAAACATTCCCAAATTCAAAAAGTAACCTTCACATGTACACTATGACATAAAGGGTACTGCAAGACAACAATTTATCAAATGCATTTAGCCATATGTTATATTTTTAAGACCGGACCAAAAATACACAAGTTATTGCAAGTCGAACGGATTAAGTATTATTAATCTCAAATGAAATCTGATATCGACTGGAAATGCTATCATTACGCAAGAAAATGAATGGCTTCCTTAGAAAGCAAAAATACTAAGTTAAAAACCAAAAAACCAAACCGAAAACCGCGGTATCAAGGAAAACAAAACCAGAAACAGATACTAAAACATAAATTGCCAAACTGACCAACTCTTATATATACATATATATATATGTATATGAATTATTGGATTTTTATTAGGTATCTCCATTTTTAAATTCTACATTAGTTTAATCTCATTAAGTGATATTATTCAGTGAAAACTATATTTACCAATCAAAAATTGAAAAGCTTAACACAAATCATTTTGCACCAAGATTTCTCAAGTAATTTTGAATTCTTATATATACAAAATATTATGCAACATGCCCATTTTGGAAGTGTGGTTGTCCATACATGACATTATCAGAAAATAAGAGCAATTTCTATAGTAAATTTAAAGTTAACTTTCCTAAAATTAGATTACAGAGAATATTTTCCAACATTCTTAAGATTACTGATTACTTAAAAGGTGCTCATGTCATTTTCTTAAACTATGTTTTGATAAATAACATCTTTGTAGAACAACAACCAATTATGTAATCACCTGTCATCACCTCATCAATCACAAAAAAACATAGTGATATCGGTTAAAAACACAGCTACTATTTGTTTTGAAGATTTGTTATTTTAAACTTAAAGTAAATAATACTGGTTTCAAATCAGATTAATTATACTTTAAATCAGCTAATATTTCTCAGTTTCAGAAAAGCATATTTTATTTTTGGAAGATTTTTTAATACAGAGAATTACATTGTGATCAAAGACAACTAAAAACGGGCACTAATTAGCTATTTTGGAAAAAAAAAACATAAAAAAAATCCATTCTAATCAATATAATTTCTGTTTGAAATACACCAGAGTATTTTGCATACTGGAAATAATAAATTTAATCCTTTAGCTTTCAATTAGAGCTAAAATGAAAACTTCAAAAAAGTTTTTTCATTTATAAAAATTCATTTTAAACCTTAGATATCACAAATTAGTGGAGGTAACTAATTTTTATCTAATCATTTTTTTCTTTTTTACAATTTTAGTTAATGTCCAATAAGAATAAATGACAAATCAACAACTTCATTGTATCTTCATGAAAAATTACCAAATTCCTAAAAACAACTAGGTTAGTAGATCATTTCTAACTAATCAACACTAATTCGATCAATGTATTCAATTTACTATATAAAACATAAGAATCTTAGTTGTCATCACTTCCACTATATCGTTACTGGTTAGTTTTTATTTTCAATGCTAAAGCTCGACATGAACCCACCAAATAACACATGGTCATCAGTGCCAGATTTTCCTTTAGGCCTAGCAGGCTGAAGCCAAGGGTCTCAAAATCTAGGGGGCCTCCAGCCAAGGATTATAATATTTTTGATGTTGTCATAGGCTTTTCTTACACATGCTGTCATAATGCATTGTAGACTCTAAATAACCCTTCAGTAATTTTAAACACCCATTATCATCCTTGGTTTAATTTAACACTCTTCCATTTACCTCTACTCATGAGAATGGGGGATTTAGAGGGGATTCACAAGTGGAATAGCTTAGGGCCTCTCTTCATCTAAATCTGGCCCTGGTGGTCATCCAAAATAAATATTTGCACACCCCTTTTCTATAAAATAATCCTTTGTCAATAACAATGATGATCATCATAATAATAATAATAATAAAACAGTCTAATTTTCAAAACACCCTAAAATCTAAACAAAAATTAGACAGAGGGATAAACAGTTCAAAATTTCTACTTTTAAATATCATGCCATACAAACATGTTTCCTTAAAACTTTTATACTGAAAGCCCTGCCGCTGACCATATTTAGACGAGAACTCTACAAGCAGACTTGAGAACTAATGGCGACATGCTTGTCAAACAAGGAAGAATTTATCTTTGTGCACAAGGATGTATGGGTGTTCTGCTGGTTTCCATGCCTCTCTATATTGAATTAGACAAAAGGGAGAAAAAAAGTATCAGGTAAAAGGGGAAGGAAATAACCAGGTGCCACATTCATGAGGAAGTCTCTACAAATAGTAGAAGGCAATGATAAACCATGTTAGGCAGTAATTTTATTATTCTTACAGAGAATTCTTCAGTGAGAGAAATTGAGAATGGAACCGAAATGGTTTTTAGTCCATTTCTCCGTGCAGGATATTACACTGAGACTTTTTAACTACAACCTGCATAAAGGAAAGTAATTCCCTGGGAGAGATCTTTAGCTTACCAACTATAGTAATGTGTGATATTAACATATATATATATATATATATATATGTGTGTGTGTGTGTGTGAACACAAAAAAGATTTTATACAGAACAATTTATCAAATGCATTAGTCATACATAGAAATAAGTACAACTACAATATCGATCTAAAGAATGCTACATTTATTAAAAGAGAGAGTAAGCTACTTCGACAGAAAATTCTTGACAGAGTCGCTATCAAATCTTGCCAAAATTTAAACCTACCACCCACCACCATGATTTTTTTCAAATATCTCGTTTCCAAAAATAAATACTCATTTCTGAGACCAAAATACATGACTATAAAATTTTTTAAAATTAAAAAACAGCTAAATTTAAAATCTATAATACATAAATTAATCCAAAACCGAAATAATATAAATAATAATTACATTATTCAAAAAATAAACAAACCAACATTTACTTAGTTTTCCTTATTAGATATTAATTTATATCACTTAGTATCCTCCATAATTTACCTTGACTTTCAGTTAGCCTAAAGTATATTTATGGGTGTTCATAAATTTCAAAATTCTGAAAAATTAACAATATTTTTAGTTCTGTCTTTAAATACTTATTGCAAAATAAAATCCTTAGATTTGCCTTGATAAAGTTCACTGCAGGGCAAAATGTGTTTAAGTTTACCTTTTGTCTTATATATATATATATATATATATATATATATATATATATATATGAGAGAGAGAAAATATTTATTGTAATAGGCTGATTAGATATCAAATTAGAGGGCACTGAAGGCCACCCATTTAATATTACAAGAGGATAAGTACAAGGACTGGTAGTTTTCAGACTACCAGATACTTTCAAGTTTGCATATAAAACATTGGTTATACAACATTAAATATGGTAGCTTCATTTTCCTAAAAGGTGAGATGATTCTGGAACAATCATATTTTGATAAACTTATGACAAATGAGCAAGAGTAATTCCAATGTTGCTGAGTTAGGAGAAAAATAAGTGACAAAGAAGAGACTGATAATAGGAAGAGGTAGATAGGGAAAGGAGATGATGAAGGAAGGGGATATGCAGGGATAAGAAGGGGAGGTTACGGAGAAGGAGACTATAAAGAGGAGGATAGAGAAAGGTGACTAAGATCAAGAAGGAGACTGCGGACAAGAAAAGAGAGAAAAAAGAAAAGAGACTGAGGACTAACAAAGAGAGAAGAAAAGAAAGAGACTGAAAACAAGCAAAGTGAGAAGAAGGGAAGGAAACTGAGGAGAAAGAAAGAGGGAAAGGAAGGAAACTGAGGAAAAGAAAAGAGAGAAAAAAGAAAAGAGACTGAGGACTAACAAAGAGAGAAGAAAAGAAAGAGACTGAAAACAAGCAAAGTGAGAAGAAGGGAAGGAAACTGAGGAGAAAGAAAGAGAGAAAGGAAGGAAACTGAGGAAAAGAAAAGAGAGAAAAAAGAAAAGAGACTGAGGACTAACAAAGAGAGAAGAAAAGAAAGAGACTGAAGACAAGCAAAGTGAGAAGAAGGGAAGGAAACTGAGGAAAAGCAAAATGATAATGAAATGAGACAGAGAACAAGTAAAGAGAAAAGGGAAGGATATTGAGAACAGGTAAAGGGAGACTGAGAACAAGCAAAGAGAAAAGGGAAGGATATTGAGAACAGGTAAAGGGAGACTGAGAACAAGCAAAGAGAAAAGGGAAGGATATTGAGAACAGGTAAAGGGAGACTGAGAACAAGCAAAAGGAAGTGTATGGGATATAGGAACCATTAGAGAAGAAATAGATTTGTGGTGAGAAAATGTAGAAAGAAGTTGACTGGTTAAGAATTTGATTTGGTTTAAAGCAAAGAATTTGGACGTGCATGGACACACAAGCAGATGGACAGATGGTTGGGCAGAGTAATTTACAATGATAGAGCCGACAAGCAGCCCTAAAAGCAACATTTATAACAAGAGGCACAACTTTTACATAGCCAAATAATGCACATACTTGATGTCATTGTGGGTAAGAAACGTGCCTGCCACCGGCACAAAAGAGGATGGACATTCTTAATTATCACAACGCACTACTAACATAGGTCAGAGAAAGTATCCCACCATTTTGAATATCTAGAGAATCCAGTTAATGCAGAAGTTCTCAGCTACAGTCATATAAATTAATAGCATCATCATTCAGTCACTGAAGTATTTTTCTTTATTCTCTATTACGTTATGTCACTTTACAATTAAATTATGCATTCTATCATAAAAAAATAAAATCAATTCAAACTTCCATTTGATGAATGCTTCAAGGACATTTTCAATGTTTCTACGCATACACAAACACCCTCCACTGGGGTTACTCAGCAATAAAAAAAAAAAAAAAACAATGAGTGAGTTTGTGTACTGTGTGCCTATCACATTCACAATGTCCATCAGTCAGTCAACAAAATCAAGTTAAGAGATTTTTGGCAAGAAATCATACTTATTATAAAACCTAGGTTGTGTGTGTGTGTGTGTCTGTTCATTTATATATTGGATCAGATTTCCTACATTTTTCAACCGATTTTGACAGAACTTCACAAGACTACGTAAAATTACCTTGCGGTGGTTCTGACAGCACCAAAAATTGGAAAACACAATTGTTTTTGCATGAAATCAATTTGAAAACATGATCAAGAGGCATCACTGTCGCCAGAATGAAAGGGGGACAATTCCTATTGAGTTATACTTATTATAAAACCCAGGTTGTCTGTGTGTGTGTGTTCCTTTATATATGGGATCAGATTTCCTACATTTTTCAACTGATATCAACAAAACTTCACCTTTTTTTTTTGGCAGGTAGTGTTTCTTATTGTCTTGCACACTTTTTTCTTTATTTTTATATTCAGAATGCTTTAAAAATTCCATTTACAAGGCAATTGTTTATAATAAAATTCTATTCAATCGGTAGACTCATAACGATTGAAAACAATGTTTTTGTTTGAGTTTGGGTTTGACCAATTTGTAAAAAAAACAAAAAAAGAACTAATTAAGACATGCGTGTCCGTCAACCTTAAACAATAATCTTTGTCAATTTTATTTTTCAGTCTTTACGATGGTTGATACTTGGTCTATCTCTTACTGTTACATCTCCGGGCAATGCAGGGCTCTACTGCTTGTCTTATAATACATGTCTATCAGCCCGTCTAGTTCTAGATTTGGTTCCTTCAAGCAATTGCTGTTAAAAGGACATGAAAGTTTATTAGCAACATGGCAAGACAACTGATGACAATCTCAAAAGAGGATTTCAGATTATTTTGAAAAACAAAAATAATACTAGAAGTGTATGACATTTCAAGAGGAATATTTTGAAGAAAGCCAACATGCCATTGTCCTAGGAAGGCTTTTGTTTTTTCATTAATATTAAACACGTGGATCATTTATGGACAGGCATGATATATATACTTTGTAAAAAGTCAAAAATGCAAATTCAATTTTCTTTTTTAATGTCAAGAGAAAACAAACATTATTTAATAACTTGCAATTATTTTTTTTTTTTCTTTTTAAAACCAGAAACCACATCTCTTAGTAAAATACACATTAGGGGTAACAGATATAATTACAGCTCAGAAATTAAATTAAATTTTGTTTGAAAGATTTAAGCTATTCTCCTCCTCTTGTTCCGTGACAGCAAATGGCTTGCTGTTACAGGACAAGAAGGAATGATATGTTGCAGTCCAAGAGGAAAGGTCTTGCCTGCCTTCATTAAAAATTAACATTCAAGGTTCAAACCAAATTAATGACGTCAGTTACTAAGCAGATCCAGGCACACTCTCGAATTATTGATCTTATTAAAGTGGTAATCTTTTTTTTAAAAAACATAATTTTCTTTCAAACTAGTTATTAGTATAATTATTATATGCTAAATACATATTACACATTTACGACACATACAGAAAGATAGTGTGTGTGTGTGATATAATTATCCAAATTTACAAACTAGTACAGAGACATATGTTTCTATGAAGGTACAAGGATATGCTAAAGAGTTCCAGGCCTAATCATGAAGAGATTAAAAAAAAAAAAAAAAACAAACAGATGTTTGATCAGATTTTAGGAACTGGGTCAAGTTTAGAACTTTTTCAGCACCCTCTCATGTTTTCTCTTCAGCAAAGAGCTTTCTTGACCAAATTGCCAAGTGTGTGTGCAATTGGTTCCAATGAAGAGAATTGGTCTGAAAAAAGTTTGTGCCCAGTCATTATTTCTGACAAGACGGAATCTTCATCTAGGCCACTAGCATTGCAGGCGGCCGAGACATTGGCCTGGAAAACTTTTCATCGATCTGATACGCAAAAGGAGAAGAAAGAAGGGACAAACAAGGTAGAAGTGTCTGCTGTCTTTGAGTACGCTCTGTCAGTCCTTATTTTATTGGTATTGATCAGCCAGTATTGTCAGCGCAACAACGATCATCGCTACTGTAGACGAAGGACAGTGGGTGGAACTGTGTCTTCAAGAGATCCACACTCTCTCTCCCCCTAACACTTGCAGGATATGGTAACTTTGCTTTCACACCCATTCAAAAGAGTTTTACAGATTTAATACATTTTACACACACAATGGGCTTTAGATAATTTCAAGTAGACTTTTATTTTACCTTCTTGCAGCTCTCAAGAACTTTGTAAAGTGGAAAGACAGAAATGTGAGCCATATTTGAAGAAAGAAGCATGAGAAACTCAGAATTGCCAGCTACAGGATTTAGTCATTAGTCTGACCTTCATGGTCCCAAATTAACAGATGATGGTGGGGGGAGAGGTCATGGTGGTAAGATAATGCAGTAACCACTTAAGAAAGAATACCTATTCCATTTATCATAAAGCTACCAATTCATATCTGTCTATATCATATATATGAGGTATTATGATAATTTACATTATTCGAGTTGTGAGTTCAATACCAGGCTACAGCAGTGGTGAACCAAAAAGAGTTAAGTTAAAGGGAAATAACTGAGACATCCAGAAGAGGCATGGTACATGGAACTAGAACAATCTACCCCGGTAGATGAGATAAAGGGTTCAGTTTGAAATTCCAATCATCTGAAGAAGGCCAGAGTGTACAATGGCTGAACATTGTGAATATGGAAATGAAGATGAGGATAACAGTCTGAATAATGTAAATAATGTAAACTACCAATTCATAATTCCTACAAATTGAAATGATTACAATTACTGAAACCTACAATACTTGAGTCAAAACTAAAAAAAATCCTGATATAAGAATTTAAAACTCCATCTGAAAGACAATATTTGAAAAAGAGAAATTCACATTTTAATTTTTCTCTAAGTTACAAACTTTTTACTTTTTTTGAATAATCAAATCAAATGGAATAAACTTTAACTCTTGATGGCCCAGGCAATACAGAAATGATTAATAGGTTAATCTTGGAAAGTAGATAGGTTCACTTATAATATAGTTAACACTCCTCCACAGTCTTTTGAACAGGAGTAGAGGTTTATCCTTTGCTTCCTTTTTAGGATAGGGTTTTTGCTTTCTTCTAAAGTCTTCTCATTCTCTTTCCCTCTCAGTAGCCCCTTGCATCTTAGTGGCATTATCACCTTGCTTGGAGTAAATTGATTAAAAATAAATGAAACAACATATTCAGTATACAATTTATTCATTAAGTTTTTAAATGTCATTTAAGTTAAATAACATCTTGATTTAATGAAAATTCTTAAAAACAGGGGCAGGAATTCTTTTTTTTTTTTTTTTTCTTAGCTTTCATTTTGGAAAAAAAAAACATCCATTTTACAATCATAGTAAAATAGTCTTTAATGGAAAATATATATAATTTTAAAAGAAATAAGCCTTTTATTAAATAAAATGGTTGTCTGTGTATTGTTTTAATCTTTTCATTTTCAATTTCTTTTGCCACTGTTTATTTGAAAAATAATTGAATGACATCAGGTTTAAATTGAAAACAGTAAAATATCAGCATATTCCCACAATGTAAGAGTAGATAGTTTCTCACCTACTATCGTTTTTTTTTTTTTGTTTTTTTTTTGTCGAAATAGAGGTTTATCCCTTGTTATCTGTTTAGGAGTGGATTTCTGGTTCTTTCTAATGACTTTTCATTGTCTTTCACTCCCAGTAACACCTTGCATCTTAGTGGCATTATCACCTTGCTTTGGGGTAAATTGATTAAAAAAGAAAAAGATTTTCTAGTGGAAAAATTAAACTATCAGTGGGCAACTAGTGATCATTATACTAATTTCATCTTAGTGTAGATAAATATTGTGAATATAATAGCTCTATCCTGCTTGTAATACTTCCGTACCATGTGGAGGCTGAGAACAGGCTAAAAGGAATTCACTAAACATTAAATAACATTAATGGAATGTAAGTATTATTTACAATGTGTTTATATACTTATACACATAAAATAAATGTTGAGTTAAAGACACAGACAAGAATTTTTTTTTTCTTTTATTTAATCTTTCTTGTTTGCATACAAGTGAACATAATTATCTCCATAGTGTATGTAGGAATTATTCAAATTTTTTAATTTTTATTCATCTATTCATTTACTTATTATCAAATTCCAAGACCTTAATGGATAGGGACAATAGAAATATATAACTACGTTGTCAAGATAGCTGTTCATTGCTTCTTTAAAATATAATTTTTGAATTTCAGCATTATGAATTTTGTGTCTTATAACAATGTCTTGCAAACATGCAACATTCAAGCAAATTCATTTTCTCAGAAGAACATCTCAGTTTGTTGGCAAATAAGTTTCAAACTCCCAGCATCTAGATTACAGAACATTTTATCTGGCTTTAGGTCATTTCTTTTAATAAAAGAGCTTCAAGAATCTGAAAAGGGTTTCCTCATAGCTAACATGGAATAATAGACAAGTTTTCACAGGGATCAAACCTTGATTGGACCAACTTTCTCACTTGTTTGATGGAAAGAAAAATATGTTGATT